GCTCAGTGGCTAAGCCTGTAATCCCAGGACTTTGGGAGGCAGAGGTGAGTGAATTGCCTGAGCCCGCAGGTTTGAGACCAGCCCAGGCAACTTGGTGAGACCTTGTCTCTATAATAAGTAAAAAAAAAAAAAATTAACTGAGCATGGTAGCATACACCTGTAGTTCTGGCTACTTGGAAGGCTGAGGCGGAAGGAAGAGCCTAGCAGGTTGACGCTTGGGTGACTGTGAGCATGCCAGCATGCCACTGCACTCCATCCTGGGCAACAGAGTGAGACTCTACCCCCTCACCCCCCCAAAAAAACAAAAACAAAAAAAAGAATACCAAACTTTATCTGTACGATGACCACTTAATGTACTTAACCCTGAATTGTACCCCACATCTTCAAAAGGAAAAAGAAAAAAATTGACATGTCAAACTAGATTACTTTGTCATTCTCTCCATTTCCAATTTATAAAGTCCATTGTTACACAGATAATTGTGGGGGTTTTTTAAAGATTGTTTGGAAATACTCAGTTAAGACTTTCTGTTTTCTTCCATCTTTGTTACTTAACCTGTATTTGGGATCTATGCTTAGTAGTCAGAGATTCAAAACTATTGTCAAATGGAACAGAGATTAGAACACTAAGTGTACTATAGAAGTTAAAAGAAAACATCTTTCTTAATTATGCTAATTGTTGTGTATTGTCCTGTCAGCTTGCCCTTATTAGTAGATATAATGAGCAGTACATGAGAATTCAAGAGCAGAACGTTTTATACTGATGTCAGTGAAAGCATCATTTTAGTTCTAAAAACCTCAGCCAAGCGATCACTTGCAATACCAACATTTTTTAGTGTAAGCTCCATAGGAGGACTGTATTCCCTATTGAGATTTATAGTGGATTTTTTTTTTTCATTTACAAGTAACGTATACCTAGCTCTCAGATTTTGGGTTCTAACAACATTCTCAATTAAAAGGAACTGTAGAGGTCCTTGGAAAAATAGCTAATTCTAGAACTGGAGTAGAAAATATACAAGATGAGCCTAGAGCATCTTGTAGTATCAAAATGTAAGGAAAGGCTTTATATATGCACACACACTGATGTAGATTGGTGTGCAGAGGGACATAAAGCCAACTGAAGGGGCTTCCAGTGGCTAAGCTGAAACAGTTTGAGTAACAAAATAAAGTAGTATGGTTTACAACTAGAAGAGTAAACTAATAAATAGCCAGGCCTGGTGGCTTATACCTATGATTCCAACACTTTGTGAGGCCAAGGCAGGAGGGTTGCTTGAGCCCAGGGGTTTGAAATCAGCATAGACAACATAGTGAGACCTCATCTCTACAAAACAAAAATAAATTAACCAGTGTGGTGGTACTTTCTTTAGTCTCAGCTACGCAGGAGGCTGAGGTGTGAGGATCACCTGAACCCAGGAGTTCTAGGCTGTGGTAAGCTATGATTATGCCACTGCACTCCAGCCTGGGTGACAGAGTGAGACCCCAACTCAATAAATAAGTAAATAAATATCCCCAAGCCCACAAGTTTGGGAAGACTGAATTGACAGTAATTGGAGTCATGGGAATGAATGAGTGGCCTAAGAAAATAAGAAAGCCAGCTGGGCTCTGTGGCTCAGCCTGTAATCCCACGCCTTTGGGAGGCTGAGGTGAGTGGATTGCCTGAGCCTGCAGGTTCGAGACCCGCCTGGGCAACTTGGCGAGACCTCATCTCTACATTAAATCAAAAATTAGCCAGGCATGGTAGCGCATGCCTGTAGTTCTAGCTACTTGGAAGGCTTAGGTGGAAGCATTGCCGGAGCCCAGCAGGTCAAGGCTGCGGTGGCCGGGAGCGGCCACTGCACTCCAGTCTGGGCGGCAGAGTAAGACTCCAACTCAAAAAAAAATAAAATAAAATAAGAAAATAAGGAAGCTAAGGACAGAGCCTTTAGGAACACCAGCAGAGACTGAGGAGGAATAGCCCAGGGCTAGGACAGCTACAGGAATGTGTGCTCAGGTTCACAGGAAGAGACCTCTTCAAGGAGATAAAGGCCAACAGAGTCCAGAGCTCTGAAATGGCCCAGGAAGACAAGGCTTAGTTCACAGTATCTAGTAGCCAGGAGGCTATTGGTAACTTTGGTGAGTTCCATTGCAGTGATACATGAGGGAAAGAACTGGGGTAATGAAGTATGAGGTTGTAGACAGAGTTTGGGTCAGAAATTGGACCATCTGATTTTACAATTAAAAAAGAGCAGTTACAGGTACATAGATGGGAGTAGTAATGATTTTGTGCGTGACATTGGAGAAGTAATGGTTTGGGAGTCATACTGAAAGTTGAAAAGGGCGCAGCCCCTCTTGTGACTTGAGAAGGTAGGAAAGAAAATCCAGAGAGGTCAAAGAGCTCACCACAGAAAGAGAGTTCAGAAGGGGACCTGGAAAGGTCAGAAGTGGGGAGAGCTATGCAGAACCTGCGGAGGAGAGTAAGCACACGTTCTTCCAGCGAAGCTTGCGCTTGGACAGTCAACAGAGGCCATGGAGATGGGCTGTGCAGGGAGTTTGGTTGGCCACAGACCCCGTTGGCAGGCAACTTGGGAAGAGATCATTGTGGCCTTTTGTCCACCTCCTTCCTCTCTGCTCACCTCACCCTAACATTTATCCTGTGCCTTTCATGGATCTCTGTGCCATCCTAGGCCCCAGGGATTCTGCAGTGAACAAAACAAAGTCTCCACTTTGGTGGAGGGGAGAGAATAAGTAAACACTGTGCTGTTGGGCAGTGACACACAGTGAGGAAAAATAAGGCAGAATAAGGGGCTGGAAATAGGGTGCCAGAAAGTCGGTTCAAGGAGGGCCTTTCCGCTGAGGATTTTAGACAAGGCCTTGGCAGGAGCAGGTAAGCGAGTCGGGTGCGGTCACGGGAGAAGCGGGACAGGCTCTGGCGAGGGTGACCTTGTTACGCCAAAGAATGTCGAGTGACTGGCACAGAAGAAGGAGGCAAGGAGAAGGGAGACCCCACAGAAGTGGGGGCTGGAAGCCAGGAGTCCTGTTTTGGACAGACTGTATTTGGGGCGACTGTCCTTTTGCTGACGGTATTTAAGTTTGACTCTTGTTCACTCTAGTCATCTAATATAAATCAGAATGATAAAACAGAATCAGAATGATGAAACCTACCTTGCTATGTATATTTTAAAATAACATACATAAATGCTGCATCTAACACTTGTGTATAGTGACATGTAGTTACTCATTAGTCATTATTCATGTGTAGACATTACCACGTGTGCTTCATGAAATCATAAAGGGCTGGAGAATGTTAGTAAGCTGTTATTTACATTCCTTTTTGCCTCTTTTGGTTGTCATGGTTAACCTGCCCGGTTTTCAACTTTTAGAATATAACTAAGTACTTAATCATGCATCATTCAGAAGTTGCCATTTTCCTGTGCTACCTGACATTTTAATTTTCCTTCTAGCCAAATAAATATGTTTTCACCTCTCAACATTTCATTTTTTTTCAGATTTACATCTAGTATGCCCCTCACCCTCTTACCCTCTTTGTGCCCCTTCTTAAGAATTATAGTTCCTCCATGTAGCCTATTAGATGGGCCCTGACTGGTTATTCCATTTTACACTGCTGTTGTTGCAGATGACACTTTTTATAGTATATCACATAGAAATGTTTGTGTATGTAGTATAGTTTTGTATGCTTGTCTGTGTGTCTTTGTCCTAACAATGGCCTTGTAATGCTGATGACATTTGATAAATGGTAGTGATATGTTGAATAAAGGAACAAAAGAAAGGATTATCCTTAGGGATTATCCCTATCCTTAGGGAAGCTGGGTAATTGAAGTGTGTTGTTAATATGCTGAGGTATTGGTAAACTATTCTGTGTCTGTGGTTGTTTTTAATCAGTCAGTAAAAAACTAACTGTGGACTGTTAGGTGCAGTCCAGCAAACATTTCCACCTAACCCTTCTGGGGGAAGTCCATTCAGTAGGACCATCAAGATTGCTTCTGATTTAAAAGTTTGGGTCCCTGGTTTCCATGTTCATATATATCATTTCCTTTTATTTTCTTCTTTTTTTTTTTTTTTCCTGAGTCAGAGTCTTACTCTTTGCCCAGGCTGGAGTGCAGTGGCACACTCATGGCTCCAACAGCCTTGACCTACTGTGTTCAGAGGATTCAGCCTTTCAAGTAGCTGGAACCACAGGCACACGCCACCACACCCAGCTAGTTTTTTTGATTTATTGTAGAGACAAGGTCTCACCAAGTTGCCCAGACTGGTCTCGAACCCCTGGGTTCAGGCAATCCTCTCTCTTTGACCTTCCAAAATGCTGGGATTATAGGCGTGAGCCCTTGTGTCCAACTCCTTTAACTTTCAATATCTGCTGAATTATGCAATTTTAGAAAGCGAGAGGTATTGTTGCATGAAATCTCTAGACTGTGAAAACTGAGGTTCATAGAGAAAGACTACAGAGAAGTTTAAAGCATTTTATTATTTTTCTCCCCACTTCTCAGTTTTTCCAGCACTGCTCAATGCTATGTGGGTCTAAGATCACCATGAGGGAAGACAGGATAGCTGAAAAATTAGTGATAGGAACGAAAACAGCACTTTGAGTGGTATCTTGCTTGAGAAGCATTTTCACATTCACCAGAAGTGGGGCTTTTAAAGAAGACTTCTTTTTCATACAAGATAAGTTTGGAGGCTACATTTGTACAACAATGATCATGTAACAGTTACCATAAAAGTATTTTGTCCAGGTTGACCTGGGTCCTGGAGTATGAGAAAAAAATGTACTGTAACATTAGTGACAGCTAAAGAGCTGGAGAATTTTTTTTTCCTTGAGAAAATTGCATATGCCAAAGTACCTAATTTGTCCAGGAGAAGAGAATGGGAAACCCTGCTAGCAAAAACGGAATAAGCTTTACTAGTAGCAGTTTTTTTTTTTTATTGTTTATGTATCCTTTTTTGTTGTATAATTAAGGGCAAAATGGCCTTTGTTTATATTTTGAAGAATTTTTCTACTTTCTTTCTAGAAACTAATTCTGAAGCAAGCCCTTATTATTGTGCTGCAGTGGTGTTTCAGTCACAACTTCAGTGTTCGACTGTATGCTTTAGTTGCTCTTAAGAAAATCTGGAACATGTGTAAGACGTTGCATGTTGAAGAATTTGATGCCTTGGCGCCGATTATCGAATCCAGTCTCCATCAAGTGGAAAGCATGCACGGAGCAGGGTAAGGAGCCCTGTCCGCTTCTTTCTTCCGGCAGAGCCACAGAGAAGGGAAGGTGCCCGTGCCGCGCCATTCTCTCATCATCCCTCTGACCTGGTCTGGCTGTGCTGGCACACTGAAGGCTTGGACCGGGCCAAGTGCAAGCAGCTCACTCTTTGGTGAAAAGTTTAATTACAGTTTTAATTGTCAGCTTCATCTTGATCTTTTATTTATTTTTATTAAGGTAAAATAGTCACAGCTGTTCCATTTTTAGTTATATAGTTGAGTGGCAATAAATCTATTTATATCTTTTTCTTCCCTTCATCTCCTATTCCTTCCCTTCTTCCCAGCCTCTGGGAAGACCTTTTATCGCTCCTTTATCTTCGGTCCTTTGTTTTGCAAATAATCTTTCCATGCTTTTGATGTTTCCCGTCGATATAGCTAAATGTCTTCCTCCTCTGTTGTGAAAGGACTGCTGAGCAGCAGCAGGATCTGACTTTAAAGCCACGTTCTTGCCGGCTCGCTGTACTAGCTAAAGCTGAAGACTTGTCTTTTTTTTCTGAGAGAACTCTTCTGACTTCCCAAACAAAATGTCACACACAAGTTTAGTCTCGAGCAAGTAAAAGGCTGCCGCTGTACAGAGTGAGGTGGAGAGAAGGGTGCGTGTCCCAGGGCTTTGTGACGCCCCCTCGTGTTCTAACGTCTCTCTCCTTTTCCCCACACCTAACCCAGCAGAGGAGGAGGCTACATTGTGCCTCTTATTACCTGAGCTTGTTTCCTCATCTTTGAGGTGTTACTGCTTTGCTTTCCTCGCCATCATCATCTTTGTTATTACCACTGTTCAGGAACGCTGGGATTCTTACAAATTTCAGAGACCAAGGCAGTTTCAGTCAGGCAGGGTTTTTCTCTGGAAGTTGAAAAAAGCACCCACCAATTTATATACACAAACAGAAGGTTGGAAGCAAGATGTTAGGCAAGTGAAATGACATTTGGAAAACCAGTAACATGTAGGGGTCATTGTCGTGACCATCAAGTTAGCACATGGTACAAATAAGACTGTTTATGAGCTGGTATATAGCTTCACCTGGAGTTGGGGACAAGGGTATCTCCCTGGCCACAAGCTACCTTATAACCCTTCCATCTCCACTGACTTTTTGATACATTTGCTGAAAAGAGGCATTTGGGCGTTAAGTGAGTAAGGGAAGCTTTAGGGGCTCGGGATAAAGATATTCAGCTCAACAGATTTAAGTACTAAAATCCATGAGATAGAAGAGGGGGAAGGGAACAGAAGGAGAAAAGAGTTGGGTGGGGACATGGTTGTGGATGAGAAACAAAAGAGCAAGGGAAGGGGTGGAGCACCTGGGAGTTGTGCTCTGCTGGCTGTACTGGAAAACTACCTCCTGGTGCTGGGCCCCACAAAGATTAGTCATCACAGTGTTACCTAAATGCCAGGATTTTGGTCAGGTCCTGTTGCTCACCACACAGAATGCTGGTGGCTGAGACAAGTATTGCCAGGGAAGGAGGCTTTTTATTTGGGTGATACCTACCAAAGCAGAACAGGAGAGCATCTCAGAGCCATTTCCCCAGCCAGTTGAAATTGGGGGTTTACACAGTGTGGGAAGGAATGTAAAACAGCAGTTAGAGAGAGGTAAGGAAGCAGTCATGTTGAATGAGGGGTCTGGCTTCTCATTGTCGGGGTATGGTGTCCTGGTGAGGTCCGGGTCCTCACGTGAGGGTTGGTTTCCTAAGAAAGCAACTCAGATATGGCATAAGTAAGTTCCAAGTTTTAAGATTGGGAGGGTGAATTTCTATGTTCATTAAATATATATAAATATGTAAACACATATAATAGTATAAATATTTAATAATCATAGAGAAAACTAGAAACTGACAGACAAATGCCTACCTGCATGCCAAGTTATGGCAATTCCCTCAAACTTCTTTCACTAAGGAAAGGCATGTATATTAATTATATTTATATAATTTCTGTTTATTAAATATATAAATACATATATTTTATATAATTATATTTATATATAATTATATATATCAATTCTGTGAGGAAATTGGGCTAGTTTCAAAAATTAGTAATTCACTCTAGCATTACCTGGGAACCCTAACTTTCTAGGTGTCATCAGGCAACTAGAATTCTTGATCTTTTTTTTTTTTTTTTTTTTTGAGTTGGAGTCTCACTCTGTTGCCCAAACTGGAGTGCAGTGGCTCCCGTCCACCGCAGCCTCAACCTGCTGGGATCCAGCGATCCTTCCGCCTCAGCCTTCTGAGTAGCCGGAATTACACCACGCCCGGCTCATTTTGATTTATTATAGAGATGAGGTCTTGCCTGCCCAGGCGGGTCACGATTCTTGATCTTTTTAAGTGATCTTAAATGTCTCATTTCTCCTTGCTGTATGAGTATATATTTATTTATCATTTCTTATGTCTGGTGAATGCTGGCTAAGTTTATTTACACGTGTAGATTTGGACATATTTCTCAGGATCATATTTGCAACTCAGATATGGCATAAGTAAGTTCCAAGTTTTAAGATTGGGAGGGTCATGTTGAATGAGGGGTCTAAGCACAAGGTACAAAAGTTGTTCCTAACCATATTTTAATATATAATTCAATGAATTCATATTGATAGTTAATAGAACACTCTCTCTGCATGGTGTACTTCTTATATTTGATGGTTAGAGGTAAGTAACCAGGAAACATAGGGTATAGCTAATTCATAGACTTTTTAGCCTTTTCTTAGTGGAATGAAGTTTGAGGGAATTGCTGTAACTTGACATGCATATAGGCATTTGTCTGTCAGTTTTTAGTTTTCTCTATGATTATTAAATCATGATTGATTAGTTGGTGTTGGGATGTTTTAGCTGGTTGTTGATTCTAAGTTTCTTGGTTGCTGTGTTTTGGTTTCTAAAAACAACTGGCTCCACTCATATTTTTTATGAAGCAATAAAACATCCTTCTAAGAAATAACTTGTTCTTTTTGAAATCCTATTACCAAGTAGGAGATACAACCAGTCAACAAGGCACTCTGGGCATTAAGCCATCTCTGTTCTCTGAATACATAGCTCTTTAGAATCAGCTTGTGCAGGCATGAGGGTAAGTCTGAGGGGTCATCGGTAGGCCAGGGATGAAGGCTCTGTCCTCACGTAGCTTATGGTCAAGTCAGGATAGACATCAGGTAATCATACTAAAGAAGTTTTCAAATAAATCATAGAAGAGTAAAGTCTGTGATGAGAAAATACAGACTGTTCAATCTGGGCAGTTTAGGGGAGGCAAAGCCTAAGGATGAATAGGAATTCGGCAAATGAAGAGTAGAGGAAAGAGATTTCTGGGCAGAAGAAATCTTGCTTGTGAATGCAGAGGCAGGAATGTGCTGGGATTGCTCAGAGCACTGGAAGAAGGCTGGTCTGGACTAGGGGGGAGCAGAGCAGCAACTGGACAAAGGACAGGGCCAGGCCTGGGTTTACAGTGAGTGAATTGGGAAGTCAGTGAAGAGATAAACTTGAGAATGTCATCATCCAGTTTGATTTTGCATTTTTAAAGTGTGAAATGCACATCAGAGAAAATGAGAGGAAATTTTGATTTAGAGTAGTATGAAACTAGCAGAGGAACAGAGAAATAAACAGGGTTGAGGTAAGATAAGAGCCTAAAGTACTTACTGGATTTAGCAAGAGACATTTCAGTAGTACAGTTCATGGGGACAAAAACAGAAAATTAATGGGTCCAAAAGTGGATAGGATGATACGTTAACATTTGTCACACCAGAGAGGTAGGTTCATTGGTGTCTCGTATTATTTTCTTTACTTGAGTATTTGGAATATTTAAAATGTTTCATGTCTTTAATTTTTTTTTTTTAAATGAGCTTTGAGGAAGGTGAGACAGCTAACTTATGCAGAAAATTCTCTCAAAGCGTAGTTTTAAGTACAATAGCTAATACACGCTGTCACAAGAGGGCTTCTATTTTATTTTTGGTAAGATTTGTTGTTTTTAAGTAGTATCCATGGTTAGGAAGTTGAAGAGTGCAGAAAGCCATCAAATATAAATGAGACAGCCTCCTTCCCTCTCTCCTTCCTCCCTTCCCCCACCAAAGGTGAAACCTCAGTAAGTTGGTTTTTCTTTTAACAGCTACCTAATATTCCATATGGCCTACGCGTCCACTACTGATGGACACTTTGGTAAGGTTTTGTTTTGTTTTTTAAGATTAGGCATGAAAACTTTTGAATAGGCTGAAGGAAAGTATAGAGAAGAAGGGAAGATGCAGAAGAGGGAGAGAGCAAAATCCCAGGGAATAGGATCTGTTGGGGGGTATTGCCTTCAAAGAGCAACTTTTGAAAGTGAAGGGGAGAGGACAGGTGGGTGAGAAGGTGGCAGGAAGACGAAAGATCTCTTGTCTGAGTCTTCTGATTCTTGGACCTGTGATGTGTGAGACCTGGCTATCTGTGGATAGTGAGGCGGGGGTGGGGGGAATGAACTCTGGGGAGTGGAGACGATACATTGGGGAATGATTGTGCTAGAAAGATATCTTGAAATGAGTACTTAGTTTTTGGGGTGACGATCGTGAATTTAAACTGAAATCTGCCAGTTGTGTCGTATAATTTTTATCCTTATCTTTTTTGTCTTTTAAAACTTGACAACACATGTGTTAAAAATTTAAACCCTGCTCATATTAAATTTGTTAGAAAGTAGGTACAGTTTGGCTAAATGTTGTGAGTCTTCGGAGTAGAAAAAGTGACTTATGTTATGGTTTCCCTCCTGGGAAAAGATAGCTCACTGCCAGAGAGAGACTGCAGGGTTCCAGCTCAGTTGTTTTTTCTTATTACTGTCAGGTGACAACCATCTTTCACCCCTACGATGTTTGAACTCTGGCCTGAAGTTACTTATACTCTTTACACTCTACTAGATGAATGCCTGTACTTACAGCTCAGAGACCTGGGTTTTTACTCTTGTTGCCTCACTGGTTTTTGCATGACTTTGAAAGAGTTATTTAATTTCTCTGTTCATCTGTGCATTCCATTTCAAAAATGTAAAATTTAGTGTCAGTGTTTTAAGTATGTGTTGATCTTGGAGATATGTGAGTATAAATCTTGGGATAAAATTCACAAAATGTTCCATTTCTTCTAAGTTCTGCAGTACCTCTTTAAGACATCCAGTTGATTATTTTTTCCCCCCTCACTGGAGTTGTTTCACTTGTCTGTGCCTCATACCATATTTTTAATCCTTAGGAATGCCAAGAAGAATTGGCAGCGCATCCAAGAGCATTTCTTTTTTGCAACATTTCATCCACTTAAGGATTATTGTTTAGAGGTGAGCAGAGAATATCATTTGTAAATTCTCTACTGTAGCTTTAATCCTGTGCTTCCTTTTTGCTTTTGTTGAAGGGTAATGATTAGGGAAAACTTTTTTTCTTACTTAGAAACATCACCTTGATATTTTAAAGTTCTAAGATTAATTTTGTCACTTTATGCAGATGACTTGCTTGTATTTCACTCTTAAGCAGTGAAAATTGGCTAGTCATTTTCACTTTCTATTTCTCAGGCAGTGTCTGGCTTGTAAACAATGGAAGGGAGTATTTAACTCTAAACAGAAATCTATTCTGACATTAAAAGGAAATGAGTGAGAACATTTGTGCAGGTGAGATTTTATTGTACTGAAGCCCATTGTTGATGAAAGAACAAAAAGATGTACTCTTTTGATAATGGCATTTTTTAAGGTTCTGGTAATGAAAATTGTATAACAAATGGTATACCACCTCACTGATTATGACAGAATGTACTTATATGATTGTAAGAACCATAGATTTGCTTATTATTATTAATATGTAAATGAATTCAATATGTAAATTATTATTTTAATAATTCAATCTAACTTTCCTTTGCTTATGGTGTATTACTTTCTCCCTTTTTCAACTATAATTATAATGTGCTGTGCTTAAATTTAAAACTTTTGACTTAGGACTTTTCCTCTAAAGAATTTACAAGTGTTGGTAACTTAAGCTGCTGTGCATAAGCATTTTTTTGATGGGTTGTTAAACTGGCCTTTAAAAATATAGATCTATATATTTTGAGATCAGCATCATAGAATGTTAATGTGTATTTTCTGCTGCTTCACTGCAAATATTATTTAGGATTTTTCAAATATTTTAACATGCTCTGCTCTGTGTTCTTTAGCACCCAGAATGTTTTGTCTGACATATTTCCGCAGGATTCCTTTAATAACTAGTGTTAAGTCAACTTTTTTCTATTCAGTTCTCCAGCAGGAGTAAGTCCTTTGCTTCCCTCCTTTCTTCATCCCTGCCTTTGACTGCTTCATTCTCATATATTTTATGTTTTACCCTTCATTAATTATATGAATCACAACTATGTATGTAAATAAAATAATGGGAGTTAATGGTTCACAAGAATGTGTCTCTTTATATATTGGGAGCTGTACTTTGTGCCCACTTAACAGACATTTAGTTGCAGTCCTTAAATTCACAAATATGGCTAGCATGAAGAAAACCACATTCATTCTTAAACCTTTCATGAAGATGTGTGCATTGTTGCTAGGTTTATTACTCCATTGTTAAACTGCCTGTTCCTTGGGCGTCTACCTCTTAGGCACCTTTCACTGTCGATCACTTTCTGGTTCTTTTAGTGGCAAGGAAAGGAAAGGAGGGTCGCACTGTGCAGTCACAAAACACTTCCGTGTGCTGTTCTCGTCTGATCTCATCCTCGTTTTGCAAATGAGGATGTTGAAGCCAAGAAAGGCTGAGTGGCTTGCCCGGCGCCATACAGCTGATTATATAGACAAAAGCCAGAACTCGGGTTCTGGATTATCTAACGGTGACAAGAGTAAAAGACTTGTCGTGAAAAGAGCTTGAACTTGATCATTTGTGGAGGTGCTTGGTTGTCAGCAAATTGCATTTATGCAGACATTGTCCATCACTAGAACCCATTAATTCTAAAACATTGTGTTTTTATTAAGAGCAACTGGTTTATTACATATAGTTAGAAAGATCAGAGTCAAAGATCTGCCTGCTCTCAGGGATTTCCTAAGTTAATCCCCTAATTTCTTAGAGAAGAGGAGAAACATATATAGACAGTTGCTATAAGATATAAATAAAAATATGTAATTTGATGAGATATGATAGCTTGGGAGAATATATCATTAATAATTAAGTTGTACTTGTTATATATTTCTTTGTTTTTTTTTCAGGGAAAAAACTTAAATTTTATAATTCTCTTTTCAGACCATATTTTACATCCTTCCACGCCTCTCTGGCCTCATTGAAGATGAATGGATCACCATTGGTAAATTTTCCAGATTCACTGACATTCCTTTAGATGCGGGATTTCAGTGGTATCTTTCTCAAACTCAGCTAAGTGAACTAAAACCAGGTGACTGGTCTCAGCAGGACATAGGTAAAGAAAATTTTCATTTTACTCTTTTCCCCTTATCTACTTGACTAGACTTTTTGATTTATATTACTTAGGACAGGTAGTTGATAATGCCACTTTCATTGATGTGGGGAACTTTGCCTCTCTACTTAGAGAAAAGACTGAAAAAATGTGATAAAACTTTGACTAGCACTTTTAGTTAAAAGTTAGCTTTGTCATTAAAAAAAAAAAAAAGCCAAAGAGAGCCTGATTTACTTTATGTAAAGGTAGTGGCTTTCTCTTTTTCTTTTTTCTTTCTGATTTTTTTTTTTTTTTTTTGAGATAGAGTTTCACTCTGTCACTCATACTGGAGTGCAGTGACACAATCATGGCTCACCGCAGCCTCAGACTTCTGGGCTCAAGTGATCTGCTCCTCATTGAAACTTCTTTTAGGACATCAGGGGTTTTCTTGCCTTTTCCTTTACAAATTCTAAATGGATGCTATTCTCCTCTCTTGCCCACCTTTCTGTAGCACGTGTTTGCTAGTCTCCTGCAGTCCTGATTTTCCTCTAACTCTGACGCTTCTCACTCTTCTATGAGTTCCCTCACTTGTCCCTTACATTGCAGTTCTCTAAACTTTTAATGTATTCAACTTGTTAAACATGCAGATTCCATGTCCCACCTTTAGATTTTAACTTAGTATCTCGGAAGGACAGTCTGGGAAAATACAGTGTTTATCAAGCACTTTAGATGGTTCACTGGTACATTTTACTGACATACAGACTTACATTTATTTACTCATTCAACAAAGATTGATCAGTTACCTCCTATGTGCTAGGATAAGACCAAGTCTCTGCCCTCATGGAGCTCATAGTCTAACAGAGGAGACAACCATAAACAAATACCTAATACAGTGTCAGGTAGTAAAAAGCACTATGAAAAAACAAAGCGGGGTAAAGAGAGAGTGACAGAGGGTTAGAAAGATCTTTCTAAGGAGCTGACAGCAGAGCCTCCATGAAAATGAGTGCAAGGCCAGCCAAGGTCTTTCTGGGGAGTTTTCCTGGACAAGGGACAGCAAAGGTGAAGCTTCTGGGACAAGCTGGTGACAAGAGGCATTTCCTCAGTGTGCTGATGGAGACGAGGGGGAGGCGGAAGAGGTGTGACATATGTAGACAACTGTTGAGTTCTGCCATAAAGCAGAACAGAGAAATGAGTGTTACCTGGATGGTGGAAAACCTAAAGGGAAAGAGGTCTTTCTGTTTGTTTCGTTTTACATGTTTTTTGTAAAGAGGGGCATGTTGCAGTAGGGCTTTTATGCTAGGGTATACTATCAGTATCCCTGCAAATGTTGTCACTGACCTGGTCTTCTTGCTCTGTATGCTCTTCCTGAACACCTTATTAATGTCCACAGCTTGAAACACCACCTCTGTAACTGTCACTTTCAAATCTTTCTCTCTTGCCAATCCTCTTTCCTGAGCCAGCTGGACCATTTGCACCCAAATATTACATAAGCTCTTTAAACTCAACACATCCAAACTGAATTTACCTTTTTCCCCAAACTTGCCTCCTCTGTATACCCTCTCTGTTAGTAGTGTCCCTCAGTCATTGTAGAAGTCATTCTTCTCCTGTTTCCTCTCTTGCTACACCCGTTACCCAGGGGTCTTGGTGATTTTGCCTCCCCAGATTGGACTCTTCGTCCTCCACTTTTATCCCTCTTGCACTGACTTAGTTGAGACTGTCGTCTTTACCTGGACTAGTGCAAAAGCCTCTCAGTGATGTTATAGCCCCATTGTAGCCGCCACATTGCTTTTTTTTTCTTATTCGGGGAGTAGTATATGCTCAGGTTAGTTACACAGGTATATTGGGTGATGGCGAGGTTTGGGCTTCTGTGGAACCCAACGCCCAAATAGTGAATGTTGTGCCTAACAGGTAGTTTTTCAGTTCTTGGCCTCTTCTCACCCTCTTCCTTTAGTGCTCCCCAGTGTCTCTGCTCATCTTTATGTCCATGTGCGTTGTTTAGCTCTCACTTATAAGTGAGAACACATGGTATTTGGTTTTCTGTTTCTGCATTAATTTGCTTAGGATAATAGCCTCCAGCTGCAAAGGACATGATTTTGTTCTCTTTTATGACTGCCACATCGCTTTCTTTTTTTTGAGTTAGAGTCTCACTCTGTCGCCCAGACTTCTGCCACTGCAGCCTCGACCCGCTGGGCTCCAGCGATCCTTCTGCCTCAGCCTTCCGAGTAGCCGGAACGACAGATGCGCGATACCACGCCCGGCTCATTTTCTTGATTTATTGTAGAGATGAGGTCTTGCCAAGTTGCCCAGGGGGGTCTCGAACCCGTGAGCTCAGGCCATCCACTCACCTCGGCCTCCCAAAGCGCGGGATTACGGGCTGAGCCACCGAGCCCGGCTTGCCACATCGCTTTTAAGAAAGATTTCTCTAAAGAAACAGCAGCAACACTGTTATTCCCCTTCTTAAAACCCTTTCCTGGCTCCTATATGTGGAATAAGCTCTTGATCGTTATATGCAAAGAATATAATCAGGTCCGAGCCATCTCGCCCCTCTCCGTTGCAGGCTGGGAGCTGAAGCCAAAGGACCTGCTCCTGCCTTCGTCGTTTTCCTTCCACATCCCTTGCAGATGCACTTACTGTACCTGCTGTTGTATCAACCATGACTTTCCTCCCTTGAGCCTTCCTGGGCCTTACCCTTGCCCGCCACCCTGACCTTGATAATGCCTTCTGCGTGAGCACGCCCTCACTACTGTACTGTGTTCGAGTTATTGGCATCCCTGGTGTGTTATATAACTATGACTATATCCCTAGTTATGTTCTCTCCCTAGTAAATGAAATGCTCCTTGAATGCTCAGTGATCAGTTTGGAATAAGACAGAATCGAAGAAGAGCTCTGGAAGTAGAGTCTCAGTACTGTATTACAAAGATGAAACCATTATAGTTCGTAGGTTAATAACATTTGCGTACTTATCAATTTAGTCGAGATAATTGCTTGTAGAATATCCTTCATTTTAGAAAAACTCCCCAAGTACTTGTAAAATTATTAAAGGTGGATATTTTATTTATATTTTTCAGGAATATAATAGTAACAAAAAAATTCTAATCTGATATACTATGTTAGTAGGATACACCAGTAATTTACGTACCTCTAAGAAAAAAATGTTATCAAACTATAATATGCTATTTATTGTAAGGTGCTTCTCAATTTCAGATATGCTAAAATGTGAAAAAATGTGTATATTACATTATTGGTTAGTAGAGCTGAATTAAAAAACAAAATTATTAAAAATGGTATTGTGTTTGAATCTAAATAAAGTTCTTTAGTTAATGCATAATTAAATCTCATTCTAAACTATCATTTTAAACTTTAAAAAACATATAAATGTATAAATAAATATATAAATTTATATTATTTTTTTTCACTTCATAGATTCTAACTTAATCGAAGCAGAGAGTCAATCAGAGTGGAACGATGTTCAGAAAAAGATTATTCCATGGAAAAATAATGTTCCAGATTTAGACCTGGAGCTCATGTTTCAGGATCGTGCTGCCAAACTTGGAAAGTCAATTAGTAGACTAATTGTAGTAGCCTCACTTATTGATAAGCCAACCAATTTAGGAGGTAAAATTGGAGTTTTCTGGGAGCTTGCTTAATATCTTTTAGTCTTAAAAGCTTTTAATCAATCAACTGCCATGAGAGTTTCAAAGGAATGTATGGGACATAATGAGCCTAGCATTATGGTGGAAACAATCTTAATGATGTCAGGTCGTTCTGTGTAGGTCTCTGCAGGACTTGTGAGGTATTTGGGGCCTCGGTACTTGCAGTTGGCAATCTTCAGTGTGTCAGCGACAAACAGTTTCAGCACCTTAGTGTCTCAGCAGAACAATGGCTTCCTTTAGTGGAGGTAGGTGGAAAGTAATGTATTATTAAAGTTTTCATTTGCAAAAATATTTTGCAGTGTTTTGTCTTCATGTGGTCTTCCTTTTCTAGTAATTTATAGTAGTGCAGCTTTTACTAGTTTAATAATAATACTTTAAAGCTTTAAAGTAAAATACAGCCCACTTCTATTCCCTTATTTTATATTTTACATTATTGTATTTTTCTAAATTATCAATAATGTAGAATTTTTTTTCAGTAAAATGTGTCGTGTTACCTCTTATCCTTGATTTAGGAATAATTCCTATAAATAATTCCTCCTATGTAATGTTGGAGGAATCCTTTTTTATAGTGTATAATTCTGTCCTTTTCCTTTTAAAAAAGACTTTTAATAAGTTTTATAAGTTTTAACTCTCATTTTGCTTCAAGCAAGGCTATAACTGAATAATTTAATAATCTGTTTTTGTAAATGAATATTTAGGTAAAACCACCTCAGCTAATTGATTATTTGCAACAGAAAAAAACAGAAGGTTATACCATCATTGGAGTGGAACAAACTGTTAAAAGTTTAGACCTAACCCAGTATTGCTTTCCTGAGAAATCGCTACTCTTGCTGGGGTAAGAAAATTATCTTGTCAATAGTGTATACTCTGCTTCCCATCCATAAGATGTTACGTTTCTGTTTTACACTTTACCTAGACTGCTGATCTTATACCCACACTTTTCTTTTGACTTGTAATGTTTATAGGAAGCTCCCCGCTAGTTTTCTTTTTTATTTCATTTGTCTGGGGTGATTAGGTAAACACAGAATCGACCCATAAATCTTTTTGTTACACTCTCATTTATTTTTTGGTACCACAAACCAAACTTCATTTGTTAATCTGTCTTTGAGTAACATTCAGAATATCTAAGAGAAAAACTGTTTAAAACTAACCTTCCTTTCCCAATTTTTCTTCATCAGAAATGAACGTGAAGGAATTCCAGCAAATCTGATCCAGCAGTTGGATGTGTGTGTGGAAATTCCTCAACAGGGTATTATCCGGTCGCTGAATGTTCACGTGAGTGGAGCTCTCCTGATTTGGGAATATACCAGACAACAGCTTCTCAGGCATGGAGATACCAAGTCATGAAGTCTGTGCCTTATCTCAGATGAATCATCGGTGCTATTGAAACTTCTTTTTTTTTTTTTTAACTGTTTGGACTAATAGATTCTGAAATTTATTGGGATAATTTATATTTCTTCTTTCTTGCAATTTAATGCCAAAACATTTTCATGTGCCTTAAATATGTTACTCTTATCTTTTTTCTTTAATAAACACTTTTAGTTAAATTGTATTGGCTTCTTTAATAAAATATTTTAAGCAATTAAAAATGGAACTAACTGTATTTTTACAAGATAATTTCTTTTGTAGAAATTAGTATGGTCAGAAATGTGGACTGTGATAACAGTAAGGCAGAATTATAGCAGCGAACATCAATGACTACCCATGCCCCTCTGTCATAAGAAACGAGAGGATGAGGTAAAGGTTCTGAGTGAGGAGTTACGAGGTTCTGCTTACTGCTTTGCATCTACTCATTCCTTCTCAGGAAACATGCTCGGCATAAGCTCAGCCAGCTTCTTTGTAAGGCTCATAGTGCTCAAGTCATAGGCTTTAACTGATTTTTTTGCCATGAGTGGTGCAAAGTTAGAGACAACCAGGTCTACGCACGCTTGTCTTTCCACTGTGTCAGACTTTTATTGATGCTACCTTAATCATAAAAGCTACCTGCTACATGGTGTTCCCAAGGAAGCAGTTCTCCTTAGTACTGCCTGTTCACTCAGGCTTAAGCCACTCTGTAAGATAGTCAATAATTGCAAGGCATACGTAATAGTATAACCAATATATAAATGTTATAGAAGCAAGTGAAGTAACATTTAACATTCAGAGAAAAGGGATAGGAAAAAGGGTTAATGAACCAGTCCAGGGGAAAGTGAGATGAGAAGTCTTCTTGGGCCTGCAAGGACAGCACAGCAGGCATCTTACAAAGGTCTTTTGATGTGGGCCTGGGTGGGGCAGGGCCTCCGTGGCACTTGCCGGGTACTTGCCACTGTGGTAGCAAGATCGCCGCTGGGAAAGACGGCTGTAACAAGTTGTTGAAATCCTGACTTTTATGGCCACGGTGTCCTCCAATGGGGACTGACGGTGGAAAAGCATATGCTTGGTATGGCCTTATCTGGTTGGATGCGGCACAACATCTGGTTCTTGTTGACATGAAGCCATTCAAAAGGTAAAATGGAGTCTTTCTAAGATGAAGTTACCTATGTCAAGGGTACTCTATACATTAGATGTTTATGAAATTTTTTCACAAACCACCTTTGCTCAGAGAGATCAAATAGTGGTTAGAATGGTCTGTGTTCTGACAGACTCAAAGGAGTGGAATTAATTCTGTATATCATTATCAATATATAACCTGTGAGTGTTGATGTACTGTTTGTGTTCTTGATTTTTTTTATATTTAGATTACTCATTATTTAATGTTAACTATTTCTCACTGTTACCCAGACTGGAGTGCAGTGGCTGCTCCCAGCCACCGCAGCCTAGACCTGCTGGGCTCTGGCAATCCTTCAGCCTCAGCCTTCCAAGTAGCTGAAGTTACAGGCGTGCACTATGATGCCCGGCTAATTTTTGATTTATTGTAGAGACAAGGTCTCGCCAAGTTGCCCGGGTGGGTTTCGAACCCTCGAGCTCCCAAAGCGCTGGGATTACAGGCTGAGCCACCAAGCCCGGCCTGCTGTTTTTTTTTTCCAAACAAATTTTATTAGAGAAAGAAGAGAGAACAGAGTTGGTAGCATGGGCAAGAGAAACTGCCTTTTTTGCTATTAATATTTAAATTTGAAACGCCAGCCAGGCTTGGTGGCTCAGCCTGTAATCCCACGCCTTTGGGAGCCTGAGGTGAGTGGAT